GGGGTGGGCACTGGACCCTGGCAGGTGCTACTCCACGCCCCCACTAACCTCATGCCGCTGTCGGGGCCCTGTGGTCCCAAGGAATTGCCTGACACTCTCTTGCGGAAGGTGAGAACCCCTGGCTCCTCAGTGGTGCCTTGCGGTTCACAAAGCACATTGTATGTATCAGCGATGCCCCCCTGGGAGGGATTTTACCCCCAGCGGGCATCCAGAGATGTCTGGAGACATTTTTGGTTGTCACTATTTGGGGGCGCTACTGGCATTTAGTGAGAGCCCTGGGATGCTGAGAACATCCTACAGGGCTCAGGACGGCCCCCACAAAGACTTGCCAGCCCCAGCGTCCACGGGGCCGACGTTAAGAAGCCCTATTGCCCACGTTCCATTTGCTCCTCCCGGGGCCTGGTGACGGGGGAATGAGCATCTTTACCCCAAGAGGAAAGAGGCTCAGAGATGACCCACCCACTCACGCTCCAGAAGCAGCACGAGACAGTGGAGACACAGGGGGCTCAGGGCCGGCTGCCTGGCTCCCAACCTGGTACCGCAACATGCTGGCTTCATGAGCTTCCGCGATCCCCATACCCTCTCTGTGCCTCAGTTTCCCCACACCACGGGGTGTCACGGGACTCCACGGTGAATCCTTGAGGCTTGGCTCCCTGGAAGCACGCACAAGCATCAGCCATGACCGCCCCCCACTCCCCTCGAGGCCGTCAGTGGTGCCCGGGGGCCTTGTGCTCTCCCTGGGAGCCCTGGAGCAGGGCGTCTGCAGGACTCGGAGGTATGGGGGATGTTCTCAGCAGCCTTCACAGGTGCCTGAAGGAGCCTGAAGGATAGCAGCGCGCTGGCGTTCTGGTTGCCCGGGCAACGTGCCCGTAAGCATTCTGGAGGAGTGAAGTGGTGACAAGCAGTGGGTGGGTAGCACCGTGGGTGGGAATGTTCTCTCCCCAGGAGTGGGGAGCAGGGTTTCTGCGAGTCTGACACACAGCCCTGCTGCTGAGGCCAGGTCCCCAGGGCCCTCCACCCTGTGTGGGGACAGTAGGCACAGGCCATCCAGGACCAGCAGGTCCCCTCGGCTCAGCTACCGCCCCTCCTACATTGCGTCCTTGTCCTCTCTGGGCAGTGCCCAGGATGTGGCCAGCAGCTGCCCCAGGTTTGCCAGGTACCCTGTGCTCTACCTCCCATGCTTCCTCTGCAGGCAGGGACAAACGTTTAGATGGGCCCCCAGCCCAAGCCGGCCGGCCCATCCCGGGGACAAGTCATATCCGCCTGGGCAGAAGAACAGACTTGGCCAAGCCAGACCGTAAGAGTAGCGGGACCAGAATCCTGCTGCCTGGTAACCTGAACCCCACACCAAGTCAGTGCGGAACGAGGATGCTCAGAAGGGCCCTGGAAAGGCAAAGTGGAATCGGCAAACCAACCCCCGACCGGCACATGTTCTCAGCTTGGGCCTCCCGTGAGAAGCACCTGGCTGGGGAGAGGGTGGTTACAAAACGCGGAGACCCAGGCCCCACTGTGGACCCATGAACCAGCATCTTCGGGGGGAGAAGCCCGGCATCTGTAATGTTTTCAGAAGCTCCCCTGGGGCGTCCAGGATTGAGAGCCAAGAACACAGTCCATCCCTCCCTTGGACCCCGTTCAGTCCAACTTCAGCAGCACTTTTAACAAGACATACAGGATATGCCTGGTGCTGGGTGACCCCTCAGCACAGGGCCCTGGGGAGAGCAGAGGCACACAGCGGTCCCCAGCCCCCGTGTCCATTTCCTTCCAGAGCTCGGCTGCCCTCAGCCTGGTTGTCAAGCCAGGCAGATGCTCACGGGCAAGTTCTCACCCAACCCCGTGAAAAGAGCCAGGGCCCAAACGCACACTTACGGAAATCCAGACCAAAGAGAAGGGAGCATGGGGATTAAGGACGGCACGGCGCACGGAACCGTGGCCCACGCGGGCTGACCCACAGCTCCGTGCCGGGCACCGGGCCCCACACGTTGCACGACTCTCTCCTTCCTGAGCTCGGGAACCTTGGGGGGAGGGCCGTGACTGTCCTCTTGCACAAGAAAGAGAAGCACAAAAACAGCATCTGTGTGTTCTCTGGAGAGAAGTCTCTCGACACAACTGAAAGGGGGGAGGAGGTAAGCACTCAGCCACGGGAGGGGGTGCTGGCCGCACGTGCTCCTCCCAGGCTCCAGGTGTTCAACCGTCCCGTCATCCCTCTTACGCCGGCAAACACGCATCCCAGCTCCTCACACGCGCCTGCCGGCAACACACCGCTCCTTACTGGTGTCTTGGCCCCGAACCGTGGACTCTCGAGAACAAATAATGGGGCTTCCACGGCGCCCGCTGAAGGCCTGCTATCGTCTGGTTCTGTTGCCGTCATTGTGTTGGCGTGGACGCAAGTCACTGTGCGTTCAAGGGGCTGCTGAAGCCACCCAAGGATGGAGGGGGACAGTGAAGGGTCGCTGCCTCTCAGAACAACAAAAGCAGGCCCCCTGTGGGTTCCACGGGGTTCTCAGGTTGACAGAGAGGGGAAGGACGGTGTCGACGGCGGGGCCCAGGGCTTGGCGGCGGGAGGAAGAGCGAGCCACCCCAGGGGAAGCCGGGTGGGTGCTCTGAAGGAGGCAAAATCACAGAGAACCTGGAGAGGCTCAGAGCCTCGTGGGAGGCACTGGCGTTGGCCAGGAGCACCTCCCAGAAGGACAGACAACTGTCCATCAGGCAGTCGATGGGGGGCTGGCAGAGGGCAGATGACCCTGAGGGTGCTCCTGAGTCTGTGACGTGCAGACTTCAGACAGCACAGGGGTCCACCTTCCACGGTCAAAGGTAGACCCAGGCCACCTGGGGAGGAGCCCCGAAGTCCTCAGCCTTCTCCACACTGTGCCACAAGCAAGTCACCTTCCCCGCTCTTCACACCTGAGCATAAATGAGGCTGAGAGAAACGGGTCCTTGCAGGGGATCAAGGGACTCATGCAGTGGCCATCACAGGGCGCAGGGCCTCTGGTGGGGAGGGGCAGTCAGGGCTCCCCCGTGGCCCACCTGACATCCCACCGTCGGTCCACGGATGGGGAAAACAGGCAGTGGTAACGTGGGTACGAGCCCGAAGTGCACGAATCATCCATGCAGATCCCACAGTGTAGCTCATGGCTCTACCTCGTCTCCAGCTAGAGTCCCCACATCCCCATCAGGACAGGACGTGACAAGGAGAGGAGCCTTGCTCCCCCTGACCCGCTGCCCCACCTGTGCCCAGCCTGCAGATGGGAGGGCACCTGACACAAATCCCAAAGGGGTTGCAGGCGAGGCCACGGAAATGCTGCCCTGGGCACGTGCCCCCGGGAGTGAGGTCCACCCTGAGCACAGGCACCCCTAGGATAGCCCACCCGGGCCAGCTCCCATCTACCCACCCACACCCGCTGAGCCCCTCTCCCCCGTTACCAGTGAGGACGACGTTTCAGGGACGTAGCTGGGCTTGCCTATGGCCACCACCTAGCGCCCTGGGGACCCCTTTGCAGCTGCCTGCCCGACCGTGCCCCTGGGCTTGGGCGCAGAGTGAGGCGGGGGCCAGCCTCCAGCCGGTTTCAGAGTCACAGGGAGCTGGAAGGAGTTCCACCTGACGCAGACATCTCTGCTCTGACCACCAGCAACCGTTCCCCAGCCTCTGAACACAAAGGGCGACAGGCAACTCACTACCTCGAGAGAACAACACTGGGCAAGTATGGGGCAGTGTCTCAGAGAAGCCGCTCTGGGTGGCATCTGCGTCCTGCTCCCAGCCGTGTCCTGTGGGGGACTCGGGACTAATCGTAGCCCTGAGCTGCTCTCCCACATAGTGGTGGCATGTAGCCCAACACACGCACACACACACACACACACACACGAAGACACACGCACAGATACACGCGACACGCACACACCAGAGACACACAGGGAAGCGTGCACACATTCACACGCATGCCTGGCTTATCTGTGTACAGACACCCAGACACACACACACACACCCAGACACACACACACACTCATACGTGCACACACACACGAAGACACACACACAGATACACGCAACACGCACACACCAGAGACACACAGGGAAGTGTGCACACATTCACACACATGCCTGTACATGGATAAGCCAGGCATGCACACAGACACCCAGACACACACACACACTCGTACATGCACACACACACATGAAGACACACGCACAGATACACGTGACACACACACACCAGAGACACACAGGGAAGCGTGCACACATTCACATGCATGCCTGTACATGGATAAGCCAGGCATGCACACAGACACCCAGACACACACACACACTCGTACATGCACACACACACACGAAGACACACGCACAGATACACAACACAGACACACCAGAGACACACAGGGAAGCGTGCACACATTCACACGCATGCTTGTACACGGATAAGCCAGGCATGCACACAGACACCCAGACACACACACACACACACACACTCGTACATGCACACACACACGAAGACACGCACAGATACACGCGACACACACACACCAGAGACACACAGGGAAGCGTGCACACATTCACACGCATGCTTGTACACGGATAAGCCAGGCATGCACACATACACCCAGACACACACACACACTCGTACATGCACACACACACATGAAGACACACGCACAGATACACGCGACACACACACACCAGAGACACACAGGGAAGCGTGCACACATTCACACGCATGCTTGTACACGGATAAGCCAGGCATGCACACATACACCCAGACACACACACATACACACTCGTACATGCACACACACATGAAGACACACGCACAGATACACGCGACACACACACACACCAGAGACACACAGGGAAGCATGCACACATTCACACGCATGCCTGTACATGGATAAGCCAGGCATGCACACACACACCCAGACACACACACACACGCGTGCGCGTGCTTACAGACACACAGAAGCACTCACATGTATGCACACACAGAAACATATGCATGCACACGTGCACGCACATTCTCAGCCACCCCTTTCCGGTTCTCCCTCCTGCAGCAGAGCTGAGAAACCCCACCATCCCGGCCACCTCCACCAGACACACGCCGTGTTGCCTGAGTCTCCCAGTGGAGTGTCCAGAGCTTGGCTGCAAACACAGCTTGGCACAAAGCTGATGTGACAGCTACCGCTGGCGTGGGGACAAAACACTGTCGTTTGGGGAAATTCTTCCCAAAAGAACCCAGTGGAGCTGGGCCAGATGGGTCAGGGCTTCCAGCTCTTCCTGAGGAGGTCATCACATCCCGACACTGTCTCAAGAAACAGGTGTCACGGGAGTTCTTGCTGGAATGTCTGGGGGGCATGAGAGCTTTTCTAGGAAGGCCCAGAGATTCTGGGCAGCAGCTGGGGCTTGGAAGGGAAAGAAATCCTCTGGTTTCTGGGAAAGCCAAGTCCCCAGTGCTGGGCTGACGGACCAAGGGCCAAGGAGGCCTCTGAGCCCGTCTCCCACCCCAAAGCACCTGGCTTCAAGCTCTGGTCGCTTCCGTACGGAGGTCCCTGACCAGCTGCCGGTTTCTTCCAAGAGGAGTTCCAATTGTCCTCTCAAGAGAGGGTTTCCAATGCTTCTCTGGAACGTTCTCCACCTCGTGCCCCAGCATGGATGGCCGCGGGCTACTGACAAGCTCCCTGGAACCCATAGCTCTCTCGTGGCATCTGTGAGAGCAGGTCTTACCTCTATCATGCATCTGAGCTCCGCGCTCCAAAGAGAATTTCCATCCCAGGTGGGGCAGGAATGGTCATTCCCGCGGTACAGATGGGGACACTGAGGTCATACAGGGGAGAGTGCAGGGGGTGATCAGGGGCGGAGCCAGGACCTAAATCTGCCTGGTCTACCTGTCACCCAAAGCACCCTCCACTGTCTCGGGGAACGATCTCCACCAAGGGAGCTGCTCCCCGTGCAGAAATCAATGGTCTTCAGTTGTCACTGAACTCCATTCACCAAGAACATGAGACTCCAGCGCTGGCCCCTGGGTGACAGGGTGTAGAGCTTGGTGCCCCCTCCGTGAGGACCACCCACACTGATCTTCATGGGAGGTGGAGGAAGGAGAGAAACTGCCACCCATGGAAGCCGTGAACCTTCTATGCACGAGCTGGGCACTGAGCTGTGCCCTCCTGGGAACGCCGCCCTGGTGTGAAGAATATACCCCAACGTTGGAGCCGAGACGCCTCATCGTTCACCATGGTGGGACTCAGGGCAAGATCATCTGTGAAGGGGCCACACTCACCGGGGTGTCCGGAGCCCCCTGCTTGCTGCACACCCTGCCTTACGGATGCCACCAAGATGACCTACGGTTGCTGAGTTCCAAAGCCAGTGTTTGACCCCTGGCAGTGCTGACGACAGCCGTCCCTCCAAAATGTATGTGTTGAAGTCCTAACCCCAGGACCTCAGAATGGGACAGTGCTTAGAGACTGGGTCTTTAAAAAGGGGAGTAAGTTAAAATGAAGTCATTAGGGTGGGTCATAATCCAATAGGACTGGTGTTCTTAAAAGAAGAGGAGATCGAGACACAGACACGCCCAGAGGGACCGCCCTGTGAAGACACAAGGAGGGGACAGCTGTCTACACTCCATGGAGAGAGGCTCAGAAGGAGCCAGCCCTGCCCACACCTCGACCTCAGACTTCCTGCCTCCAGGACCAGGAGAAACAGACGTGTGTTGTCGACACCACGCGGCCCGTGGTACCAGTATGTACGGCAGGAGCCGGCTCTGCAGAAACTTTCCCTCCCTGCGGCTCCTGCCTCTGCTCCCCCCGGGGCGGTCAGGGCCGCCTTCGGCTTTCTCCGGGAGAGCCGCTGCCCTGGGTCTGGATCCTGCGCGTGCAGGGGTCACTCACAAACACGGCCGCACGGCCAGAAATCCACAAGCCAGCTGATCCAACCTTTTCCTCCCCGTCCTAAAAACACACGTTCAGCGGGTCCTGTCCCTCCCTCCCCACCACGCAGGGATTCTCAGCCTCCCAACACGTACATGTGGGCGGGATCGGTCTGCGTTGGGGTCTGTCCTGTGCGCTGCCTCCACCCACAAGATGCTAACAGCACCCTTCTCCCCAAATGTGACAACCAAAAATGTGTCCAGACATTGGCACACTTCCCCCAGGGAGACCGCCTGCCCCGTTGAAAACCAATGCTCCGAGACACACCTTGATTCCACCCACGGCTCCCCTCTCTACCTTCCCCAGGCCACCACCTCGCCTGATGCTTCCCACTGGCTCCCCATCATCCATTCTCCACCCAAAGCGATGCTAAAACTCCAGGGAACAACGTCCTGCTCCTTCCCGCCCCTCCTCCTTTCCCCCCACCATCCCCAGTCCATCACAACCCACCCAGAACAGGGCCCCCTGGGGTCACAAGCTCCTCGCCTTGGTTTGATTATTTCTCTGGGGTTGATGCCCCACGAGAACAGGAATTGCTCCCATCTTCCTCACCAGGGTCTCCCCGATGAGCAGGGCAGCTCCCGGCACAGAGCAGGAACCCCATAAATATTTGTTGAAGGAATTAATGAATGTGGTAAACCAATGATTGAGTGTCCCCCGAGCTGCACGCAGAGGAACCAGCTCCAGGACAGTCACGTGGCCGCCGTCCCTGATATTCATGGTTCTCTGACAAGTTCTGACAAGGCTGACCCCACCAGCATGGGAACGGTGCTGAGGGCATGCCGCTCCGTGGATGGAGCCCAAGCCCACCAGCTGGGAGGGGCCTCACCTTGTCCCCTCCCAGACCAAGTGGTGGATCTCCTCCGGAGACTGTCCCACTCTCCTGTACTTGCCCCCACATCAGGGGCTGAGGCTCGTTTTCCTCCTCCAGTATTAATTCCTGACACAGCTTGACAACTCCTTTTCTCTCTCTCTCTCTCCCTCTCGGTGCCCAGAGATGGAGAAGTCAGCCTCACCTGGGGCAGGAAGGGCCATTTTGCAGATGGTGGGAGTTAGGGCTCTGGTGCTTCAAGGAGGACACCCTCCAGCCCCAATGCCCCCTCGCCACCTCCAGGAAGCCCACTGCCCTTCCTTGGGCACCCTCCATCTCCCATTCCACTCACCACCTCCAGGAAGCCCCCTGCTCCTCTTTGGGTGCCCTTCAGCCCCTATGCCCTCCCCACACCATTTTCTAGAAGCCCTCTATGACTACCTGCCCTCCACCTTCCTCTCTCCTGACCTCCCATGGGGTTTCCTCTGATGCCAGAGTCCACCCTCACCAGTACCTGCCTGTGGGTACTGCATCCTGCAACATCAAGGGGGCTTCCCTGAGGTTCCCTCAGAAGCCCTCTCCCCATAAAATGAGAGGAACTTGGCCCCAGGGCTGTGGTGGGGAGACACAGGGCACAGAAAACTAAATTGTAGCCTGAGGTGGGAGCTTATTAAGCTTGATTTTTATTTAATCTTAATTACACCTTAATACGAACATTAACTGTGCTTCATAATTTTAATTTTTATCCAATTATTCTGCAACCATTGATTAAGCACCGACAGTGATGGGTGCTGGGGATCGAGGAGTGAGGAGGTAATGCCCTCACCTTCTCCAACCCCACGCACAGCTCAGGCTCGCAAATGTGCACTCGGTGATCAATGATGGAGGGAGGGAATGAATGAATGCATGCAGGAATGAATGTGAGTTAGGAGCTTGCAGTTCACTTGGGGAAACAAGAGCTTTGGGTAACAAATGACCCAGAGGCAGGCCAGTCAACATGCTGAGGTGGATTCAGCTCTGTCTGGGCGATCCTGCAGGGCAGCTCAGAGGCGGTGATGGGTCTCGAATGCCCAGTAGAAGTTTATTGGGGAGGACACCGGAGAGCAGAAGGAATGCAGGCTTGATTTGTGGGGTCCGCTTAGGGAGGCCAACAGCAGTCAGGAGGGCTGTGGAGGAAGGAAGGCAGTGGGAACTCCCAACATCCCTTTCCTCTGGGGCACTAGGTGGCCCCTCAGCAGTCACTGAGCACTTTGCTGGGGCAGGAAAGGGGACTGGTTCTTACAGTCACACGCTCCATCAGTCCCCACGACAATGGATGATGGAGGGGACACCCTGCCTCCCTGTGCCTCAGTTTCCCCATCTGAACAGAGGGAGAGGTGACCTGAGAACACACGGTAAGAAGGGAGCGGGGGGTTCAGACCCAGGCTCTAAGGCCCCAAAGCCCAGGCTCCCCGCTGCTCCGTATTCTGCCTCGTCAATGTGTAGGGAGAAGAGACATACTTGGTAAACCAACCCCCATGACCAGATGCAGCAGCTGGGTGGCCCGGGGCCCAGCTGCTTTTCTCGGGTGGACCCTGCCCATCACCTCACAAGTGTGGGTCTGGGGTCCGAGGTGGGGAAAAGCTGAGCAAGGCAC